GACTAATGCAAAGAAAACAAGTGGGTTTTAGTCTTCATATCTAAACTAGAATGTCAGCCTGGCTATGCATATTAAGTGCTCACTGGAGATACAGATTAACCACTCTGGAGAGAGTGCCTAGTTTTGGGGTTACATCTGTCTGCATTGCAGAAATGTTTAGTTTATTCTGTCCAAACATACTGGAGAGGCCAAGTTGTGATGGAAAAGATGTTGGAGATTATTTACAGGGTTATTAGCCACGGAGCTGATCATCCAATCACTTCTGCAGCACACTTGCCATATTTTTAATAAGTGTTTAGCTGAAGTATGAATTGAAGGGTTGGTATCACATTATAAGCAGGCTGCTAGACACAAAACCCAGGGGGCTTTTGTACCTGCCCAGCAGCTGGCTTCTCCCATTCAGGAGCAAATGTGTTGAAAGACACTATTATGTTGCATTTGGTTGTGTATTTTTTAAAATTTTATGTCTAGGAGGATGAAATTTTCACTTCATTTTCTTGTTAACAGAATAAAATAGTCTGAGGTGACAAAAGTATCCAATTAAGTTGACAGTGATGGGGCTAATTGCTTTGATAACTGTAGGCAAAGCAAATGAAAAAACTAAGGCCTAACAATAGCTTCATTGTTGGGAGTGACTGGCTAAAAGCACTGGTTGTTAATCTTAACTTTGTTCCTCATATTTATCAGCTGTGATCTGCTTTTGGGAAATTGTTGGTCCTCATCACTGCAAATCAATGCAGATGCCCTTCAGTTTGCCAGGGTGTGCCAAGTCACTTTTGGCCAGGGCTTGCCTTCTGGTTGCCATTGATAGCCTAGAAGTAATTTACTGGTCTTGTGGCAAGACTTATACTGTGTCAGTCTCTTCTGAAGAATAAAAAAACTAAAGTAACGGAGAAACTTGAAATGTCATCCTAAGAATTAGATTCTGTGCAACTCAAGGAATAATGCCTGTTGCTCTGGTATGGGCTGGTTTATGTGTGTCTTTTCACCATCAAGTACAGTTTTCTTCAGGTTGTTTTGGATAGACTGCTCCTCTCCAAGATGACTTTCTCTTATCAGTGGGAAAAGAATTCATTCATTCACCTGATAGGAATTCAAGCAATGTTTGTACAAGGCAAAGCTTCTAAACATGAACTGAGCACTGTGCTGAAATGGTTAATATCAGACCTCTGGCTCATGTTACCTACTGTTACCTACTGTTACCTACTGTTGGGATGGTTTTTTCCCTTCAGAAATTGTCATTATCCACCACCCAATAGTAAGCTCATGAGAAAAGTGAAAAAGGGACATGGGAAAAAAACCAAACCCTTTCTGCTGCATATGAGCTGCTTCATTTAGGGTAGAATATAACAAGAAAAAAATCAAAAACAGATCTGCTCCACTCCCAGTGCATAGCACCTCCTGTTACTCATGCCATCCTTGTCTTCTTTCAGATGTGCTCTCCTGCCATAACTGTGGCACACTGGCCCAGACTTACTAGGGAAAAACTGCTTGAAAAAAGTATATTTGAGGGGTTCTTTTAAAGAGCTAATTTAATAAATTGCAGAGAGCTGCTCTTGGCTACAGAATGAAGGAGTATGATGGCAGAAGCAGAGCTGCTTTGAGTGCCAGAAGTGTTGTTCTGAGAAAAGCAGAGCAGAGGTTTTATTAGCACCATCTTTTTTACCTGAAGGTGCTCATTAGCATAGACAGTCGTGGGATATCGTTTCAGAGGTAGCTATGCTTATCACACACAGTGTTTGTTTCTGCCATCTTTAATGCAGACACAGACACAAGTTCACCTCTTGGCCTCCCTTTGTGAATTCTTCACTCAGTACAGAAGGTTTCTTTGCTGAAACCTTCAGCAGCAGGCTGAGTTTTACTGATGAAGTAGGCGGCATGCAATGGGTAAAAGTGTCTTCATATTATAAGAGCCATTCTCTCTTGCCCTGTTTCTCCTGAAACTTGTTAAAACTGTCTGGACAAAGATTATAGAGAATGTGACAGTTTACCACCATTTGCCAGACTACCAGTACATATGTTGCACTTTGAGTACTAGCACTGTTGATCAAGTTAACTGCTCTGTGGAATGATTTCATTTTCACAAGAGGAAGACTGTTTTGCAGATATTTAGCCAACAGTTTCACAGTTGCAAATGTATGTCTTTCTGATAGTTCTGTAAAACTTCAAGAAAACTGCTATGCTTGTGAAAAGTATTTCTTTGAGAAAATATCTGTGAGCATTTTAAATAGAAATAAGCAAAGTGAGAAAAATCAGTATCAGTCATTGCCATTATTTGTCAAAAATTATTGTCTGTTGGATAGAATTGAATCCAGTCCAGCCTCATTCTTCAGAAAAGCAAGAAATTCTTCCTAAGAACTAAGTAAATAAAAAAGGTATGATCTTATCTTTAAAAGAAAAAATCCTGCAAATTTAAGCATTCCCCTTTGCCTATGTTAACACTACAAATAAACAACAATATAATTTACAAATTATTGTTGGCACACCTCTGGATTTGCTAAGTGCCCAAATGTGGGATGCAATATGTGACAAAAATCCCAAAAGCAAGAGACCCACAAAATTCTACATGCAGAAATCCTAAGAGCTGGGAAACTGTTAATGCACCATGAATATAAACTAATTTTATGCCTATTTCTGCTGACAATTTCTAAAATTAGAAATAATGAAAAGAGAAACTCTCTGGGTAATGTAGGTACCTTTGAGGATATGGTGGGCATGGAAAGAGATGATTGCAGGCTACTTGCTTATTACTTTGCAGAACTCTTGTAGCAATAGGCCTGTTGCAATAGCAATAGTCTTCTCTTAGTTATGAATACTAACAGAAGTTGTAGATGCCTCTTCTGTAAAGAGAAAAAAAAAAAGAAATACTAAAGTAGTCTTGAAAGGCTCTTGAGATTTGGGTGTGAATAGTTCCAAATGAATGCCAAGAGTCACGGACAGACAGACCCCAGAGAAAACACTGCTGGTGGTTACATCATATTGAGATCTCAGAATGTAAAGCAGGAGTGTGTGAGCTGACTGTGGGTGCCTTCCTGGGTGCTGGTGTTGGATGTGTTCTCAGAAAACGCAGTACCTTATCATTTGAGATTAAATTTCATTATTTGGGATAATAAAAGCAGATAGGAAGCAGTACGGAAACCTGATCAAACATGGTACGTGTTTTTTCCGGTCTGTACTGTACTAATTGTACAAAATGCAAACAGGTGCCTTCATCATCTCAGTTTTCTAAATGTGCTTTAAAGGTGGTTCTAAATACTGCACACTATGAGAATCAAGGAGAGAGATGGAAAAACTACAGGTGAGCATCATGAGGTCTGAAACAGTTACAGAACTTGAAAATCCTACAAAGCAATGTTGCTCTGACCAAGTCAAACATTAGGGTATTGTCCTTCACTTCACCTCTAGTGCATTGGGGCAGGTGTAGCAGCACCTGATGTACATTTTCACCATACACCCCTGCCCAGCTCCCCTTACTTCCAGGAAAATGCCGTCTTGGCAAAGCTGGTTTACTGTTGTTTTTCCATGGCATCCAGAAACAGAAACATCATAGGCTTTCCTAAATCAAGGCATGAAGGACCAATGACAGCAGTTAGACATATCTCTTGACATTCAGCAGTATTCAGGAACTACCAAAAAGCACAATTTATAGTTATCCCCAGTGATCATTGTGCTGCTGGTTTATTTTGAGTTTCAGTGAGTTTATTAACAAGCTGAAATGAAATACCATGTTCACATGCAAATTCCCTCTGGGCTGTGGTGACAGCAGGAGTAGGACATAACAATGCATTATAATCAAAACCATTATACCATCAAACATCACTCACTACCACAGGACTGTATGGCTAGAAAAGTACTGCTGTCCTTGAACTATCCTGAATGTGTTGTGAGATTATTCTGTGACTCTGGCTGCAAAAGCAGATTTTGCTGATTTCCCTAGATCAGAATAAATCATTGGCAGTTGAAAGACTGAATCAAAGCTGTGCTGATGATAGTAGTATGTGGCTTAATTAATGCAGACAAAAAGAGAGCTTGTTACCCTGGCAGTTTAATCCCAACACTTTAGGGTTTTCCTGTC